ATTTTTCTCAGTTGAATGGATCTGATACCAAAGCTTAAATTACGTCATGCAATTTTTAATAGAAAAAAAAAAAAAGGAAAGAGGAATTCTTGAAACGAATATTTCGTTTCGATAACGAATAATGTGTCTCACAAATGTATATCGTGAAAGATATGAAAGAGTAGAATATTCTTATGAGAAAAATTATTTGTATTCTTATAGCGATGTATAATTTTTTTTTCTGAAAACAAATATCAAAGAAAAATTTACCAAAATATGATAATCGTTCCAAGGGGATGCAATTTTCAAAATACATCGATGCGATTTATAACTGTTGGTTGGACGAAAAAACTAAAACAAAATGGTCCGTTTTCAAATGATTTACGACCGACCTCAGTTGAGAGGAAAATATCGAAAACCTATTGCCATAAAAAAACCAGAGTCAATTAACCTCAGAATTATTGATAGTGAGAACCATTCTAGACCTTCCGATCGTTATAAATGTGTGGTTAATGTTAATAAATATTGTCAAAAGTTAATTATATTATATAATATTGTTAAATTAATAATAACAATAATATTGATTAATTTTGATATTTGTTATTAATTGTGTTAATTTATTTTTATCTTTAGTTAATATAATTAATTTTAAGATTAATTGTCTATCCATGTCTAGCGCGCACTTTATGCCGTAGAATTACTTATTCATGACAAAATGATTAATATTACAGAATAAGTTCTAATAAATTTATATTTTTTTTTAATGAAGTACGTCTTTGAATCTTTAAATCCGCATCACTTCTTTCCTTGTATGTAAACGTTTCCTGTTCTGAAATATTGCGAGATATTTGAATGCGTAATGTTCATCCTTTCCTTAACGCGCGCACTACGTCAGGTTTGGAGGAAATGAAATGTCAAATTTCGGTATTTTCTCTTTTCTGTGCATAAGCGCAGAATAATGCATGAAGTTTTACGGAAGGAAGAGCGGGTGGCAACAACGACGCCAAATGTCGAGAACAAAATTTCAACACTGTGTTCTTCACTAGGGATTAATATCGTTTTGCATATTTACATATTCAAGTAATGCCACGTTTCTTGTTGAGGCAGTGGAAAGAGAATATTCTTACTAGATTCACTTATTACTTGGATTGGCATTAATGGTTAGTATCGTAATCGTGAGTTAATTAATCGTTATGATCTTTATGATTCATTAATAAAAATTGGATATTTCTGTAGAATTACTTTTAAAATAGAAATTTCATGATACATATACATATTTTTATGATTAATTTATCTGCGCACTCAGAATTATACTTTATATACGTAATAGATAGAAGAACAAGACGTCTAGAATATTTTATTAAAAATATTAAAAATTTTGTAGTTAGATATTATTGAGACATTTCATCGCTAATTTTTTAAAATCTCTTTTGCAGTTTCAAGATTTTATATTTTTTCGAAAATATAAATAACTTTTTCAATCTTTTTCATCTTACAAATTGTTAATTATGGAAAGATAAACATTGAGCTTTATGACATAAAATATATAGTATAAAAATAAAATAAAAAATGAGTCTCACATAAGAAACTAAATATATAATCAGGGCTGGGAAAAAGAAGATATAAAAATAAATGAAGTTGCAAGAGCAGTGTATTATCGTTGGAGCAATTTTATATAGTAGTTTATGAGTAACGAATAGTAAAGCAATATTATTCTTATAAGCCGCCATATAAAACACTATTCGCGCACCACAGCATTTCATCTTTTCTTCAAATTCGCGGAAGAAAGCGGAGTTAGGAATGGCATTCGCGAACATTTTCAAAATGTCGATATCCAGGAGACAGTCTAAAATGTCCTCGGAACAACGTTTAAGATCTGACGTTTGCAGTGTATATTTTTCTCCTAATAAAATTCAGTCACCTTTCTTCAGTTCCTACGCAATATACCTTGCCAGAGAACGAAGGTCGCGACATATGAAGTAAAAAAAAAGAAGAGCATGTTGAGGGTGAAAGGGGAAAGGGATGAGAGGGAATATGGGGTGAATTACAGGATGCGTGCTGTTTCCTTTTCTGGGTCGTCTCCGCTCCGCATTTTTTTCCCAATGGTTTTCGCGAGATCGGACATACTGCATTATATGTGTCTTTTATTAAAGCAAAGATAAACTTCTGTAAAAGTTTTTCCTTCTATATACATTGACCTTAGCAAAGATCGATAAGTATATTAATATATCAAAGATTATATAGGCTACAATTATTAATACATATATGTTATTAAATTTATATGCGTGTTATATATGCAATGTAAAAAAAATTTAATAAAAATATGATGCAATCTAAAATGAAAAATCTATAATATTAATAATATAATGTTAAAATGCATATTGATTTCATTATTTTTAATACTATTTCTAGTTTTTAATCGTTATCCTTATAATTGATTTATATAAAATTAAATAACAAAAAATAAAATTTAAAAATATTATTTATATATTTTATTTATTTTATTTATTTATACATACAATGATACAAATTCGTTTTTATTTTAAATAAATACTTTTCTATGATTACTTACAAATATTCATCTTGTTGATACTTATTTTCTAAAAAATTTTGTGCTTTTAATTTCTTTTTAGTTACACTATTTTAATGAAATATGCTAAAGTTCTCATAAATATAAATTTGATATACATGTAAATTTTTTGCTAAAAGATTATATTTTTGCAAAATTGCTGTTCCTGGTTGTTTCTTTTAGGCAATTTTATTTATTTAAGCTTCATTTTTAGGTTGTTTATCTCTTCATGATAAAAATAGTCACAACTTACAAAGCCCGAACACAAGTTATTAGTTTTAAAGGTATATATATTCTCATTTTTATTCGATATATATATTCCGCTCCCTCTTTTCTTCTCAATACATGATAGAAACACAAGATTATTTATAATCAAAATATTCACAATTTAAAATACTGAGCAATATTTCTTCGGTGTGGAAATATATAAATGTATATATAAATCTGTTTTGTATATTATTACACCCTTTTATAATATAATCGATATGTGTGTGTTTCACGTTACACTTATGATAATCATCTGTCTATCTTGATCTTTTCGCATAACTTGAATCTTAAATAATCGCGCTCCCCCATGATGTCACATCCCTCCCACTGTCGATACGTAACGCGTCTCCGCGCGGGACAAATGTATCAGCCGCGCGCATTCGCGCGAGGGAAAAATAAAAGGTCGCGCGTGGTGGACATTTGCAACCCAAAACAGTACAAGCCGACACACGATCGGCTCGCATATTCGCGGATTCGCTGCGCTTAATGCATTAAACGGGTGACTCGCCGCGGTCGCCTGCAATAGCCGCCACAATGGAATTCAATTTTCGCAAGCGTGGGCACGAATAGCCGTCGATAAAGAATGGATAGATCCATCGTCCGATGAACGAAGGAAAGAGACCGACATAGGCTTTTAACAGGAACCTCTAGCTCCGGAGCCGCTTTGTCCCCCGTTTTCCCACCAGCGTGTGCGAGCCCCCCCTCCCCTCGCATAGATTCTATCCCTGCCCCTCCTCCGTCAGCTTACACGAACATTGCCAACTCCATGGCCGGGAGAATTCAGATAGCGGATACCGGATGCTATTATGCGCTACATATATATCCCACGAACTTTACAGTCAGTAGACTGCGATACTCTGAGGAATTTACAGTCTGAAAGATATTGCCAGGCGATATATACCGGCGGCACTTCGCCCTTCTGGGCTCTATGTAGAGCAGGGAATCGGCGGAGATGGAAGGTCTCGTGGGATAAGGAGATGATTTCTATCCTTAAGAGGGTCTACCGTCGTGGCGTTGAAATCTTCCAAGGCCTATCCCTATTCTCTCTCTCTTTCTCTCCACCTTCCTCTCTCTCCTTCCTCTCTGTATTTCTCACACCTCCATCTCACCCGGACGTACCGTGTTGCCAGAAAAAAAACACCATAATGCCTGTCAATCCGACCTTCTCCTCGTATCTTCGATCTTTCGCCTACCGGGGACGAAACGGCGTCCCATTCCGAGCGATCCGTGGGCGGATGGGTGGAAACAACCGTGAGCTTTTGTTTAATTCCGAGATTGCGCCACGAGGCACTCGTCTCGAACGTTGGCGCAGATGGGACCCCGCGAGTTTTTCCTTCCACGTTTCATTAGGGAGGAGACACTCGATAGCCCGGATAGTTTCCTTGCGTAAATTTATCGTCTCGCTTGGAAAGTTTGATCGGGATTAAAATCACCGTGCGATCACGAGCGAAGTAATGGAGCGCGTTTGTTCTACTTAGAAAGAGCGTTTGAGAACGGCAGTGTTGCGAGGTAATCTTAGACATCATTATCCCATAAGAAATATTAGTAGAATAGAAGTAAAAAATATTTAATAATTTCTTTTATTTATTTTAAAATTTATTTCTGTTTATTTTTAATTTATTTATTTTATAATAAGGCTGTTTAATTTATAATTTTATATAAGGCTGTTCGCGCATGAATTTTTAGGATATAATGAAATAATAAAACCTCGTTGTCCTATATTTAAATGATACTTTCAAAAGTTAAAGTTAATTCAACAAATAAATATCAAGTGATATATTGACTGTTAGAGTAATAAATAATAAAATAAATGTTGATAAATAATAAAATAAATCTAAAAAAGAATTCGGTCAGAACTATTATGAAATTTCTGGCACTCCAATAATTTATCAGTCAAGCAATAAATAACCGGCTAGCCATTAAATTGACAACTAAAATTGAGATTGTTATTTTACTCGTGCCTTCATAAAAATTTAAAATAAAAAGTTAGGAAAACATAGTTTATATTTGCGCATATGTACATACAGATTGAACGCGGTATCGGTTTTGGGTAACATTTTACAGGTGAAAAATTTTTGTTTGGCAATTTCCCGAACAAAATTTGGAAACAAACTTTTGTTCTGGTTGCATGTTTTTCCATAAAAGCGAACGATAGCAGTGACCACCAACTTTTCTTCCATTACAGAAATCCTGGAGGAAGGATTCAACTGATACGCATCTAAGCCAGGAATCCTGGAAAACTGTGCGACCGGCCAAAGGGCCGACTAGAAACAGTACCTCTTTTCTTGCTCGCAAAGAGGATCAAGAAAGCCTTATCGTACTTGCAACCTAGTCGAAGAAAAAGAATCAGAAGAAGGAAAAGGCGGCGGAGTGGAAGAGGAAGGGGGAATAAAAGAGGGTAGAGAACTTAAACGGAGCTGGGAAAAGATAAGTAAAGATGTCGGGCGCGGGCAGAGAAATGGAATCCCGGGCGAGACGTTCGAAGATCTCGTGATTGGTGTCAGCGTCTGGCCGAGGATATAATCGATCGCGCAAATCGATCGCGATGGAGGCAAGAGCGAACGATTCGTTCGTCAGGTCGATTCTTCGAAACTTCTCGCTGACCCGCGAGTATCGGTACCCGGACGAGCCACCTGGAGGAGAGACAGCCACGAACGTCATCGATGTTGTCACCACGACCGTGCAGGAGGAGAAGATGGTGGACTTTCTGGGCGATGCCCTCGCGGGGAACGACAGCGACGTCGATGGCAACGAGTCTGGTTGGTTCAACGAATCGACGACCGTCGCCGTCTCGACTCTGTCGGCCTCCTCGTCCTTCGCGGACTCCACGTCGTACTCCACCCCGAGCGTGGACAATTACACCGGCAGCGTGTCCGACCTCTTCGCCTTCGACGATCTGAGCGATTACATCAACAAATTCAACTACAGTGTCCTCGTGAACCTGACGGCCTACTACGACGGCGGCGCGGGTCTGAACCTCAGTAGCGTCAATTGCACGTCGTCGATAGTCACCGGAGGTGTCGGGGGCGTCGTTAGACCGGGCGAGTGTGCCGGGACGATCGACGAGAAATCGAACGCGAACAGCTGGTGGGCGTTAATACTCGTAATCGTGCCGTGTTTGACGCTCTTTGGTAACGTGCTCGTCATCTTGGCGGTGGTGAAGGAACGGGCATTGCAGACTGTTACCAATTATTTCATTGTCAGCCTGGCGGTCGCCGACCTTCTCGTGGCGGTGCTCGTTATGCCATTCGCAGTCTACGTACTGGTAAGTCGTAAGCCTACGAAGTTTATGCCTTTATCTTATTATGCTCCAACATTTACTTTAGAACTATTAGTTTTCGATAAATGTTATTACAGAGATAATGTAACAAAACGTATATTCTTTCAAATATCTTGAAACATCTCTTTAATGTTTTTCGAAGGAATAATATATTTTAGATGTGTAGCGAACTAAGAAATTATAATGATAATTGTTAAATTAATGCTTATCTCGACCGCGATAGTTATATAGCTATAGGAAACATTACTTCTGCTGATTATCGCGTTCTTATTACACGGAATACGGAGGCATGTAGTTGTACATAAAGATATATAACTCACATAATCCACTTATCGTTCATCTGGCAAGTAAAAATTTTAGAGCAATACTTCTGTCGCGCGTTAATTATGTAAGGCATTTGAATGAAATATAAAGATTTATCATACCACCAGTTCTATTCCGCTAACACAATTAATGGAATTAATATTTCTAATTATAGATTGTTGTATAATTTGTAAATAAGCTGAAAACTCCAGAGGGCGGAGTCTCGCATCGATCGCGAGTTTAGCTGCTAATTAGACACTGTACATTACACAGCGTTTGCATGCACTCAATTACTGCCCTCACCTTCAAAATACAAGGAGAAAAGGAAATTGAATAGTGTTCACTTTTGAACACTTTGATCTCGCTAACACACATATGCCAGTTATTAAAAATATTAGAGATTATGTTTCTATTAATCAAGAGATAAAATAAAACTTTTTAAAAAAAGCTAAAACAACTAAAAATTAAAACAACAAGATTCGTCATAAGAATTCGTATTTTACATTTCCGTTCAGTGAATAATATTAAGTCAAAATTTTATAATTATTGTAAGTGCTTTGAAATTTGTAAATCATACAAGAAATTATTTATAAAAATAGTTTTGTTAAAGCAATTTATTCTAACGCATTGTGGGTAATCCGAAATAAAATTATTTTCTTAAAACTATTTAGATAATTTTATAAATAATTACTAGCATATCATTCATTGTTCGTTAATACAGCTATTTCAGAATCCATTTTATAATTATTAAAAATATCGAAATTTTACTTGAAAAAGAATTTGATCCAAATATTAGAATGCAAATATTAGCAGGAAGAAAATAAATGCATATAAATCTAAAAATGTTTCAAGGGCTATAAATTATATGAAACTTTACGTCACGTAAGGAACTAAGATGTTGCCAATTACGATATTGCGTGACGATAATGCATAACGCGACAAAAAAAGAGAAAATTATTTATAATCGAGGCATTGAGTACGATATGAGAACGATATAACGCGAATCACCTGTATTAAATTTACCCAGTGGACTTTCATGCAGTTGGTTTAATCGTCAATTAAATACATGCTGCGGTGACGGTGCTGGAATAGCCCCAATTATGAAGATGATGTCGAAGCTAAATGCTATTTAGCCACGTCTATCAAACTTCCAGTAGTCGGAAACAGTTTTCGCCGACTCTATTATGATGTATACGTGCAGAGATACATTTTTGATCAGTAAATTTTTTTTGTTATTCCTTTGACATTATAGTGAACAAATAGAGCAAAGCAGAAGAAATTAATTAATCCGAGAAAAATAAGATACGTGAATAAAAACGATATATAAAAATGAAGATGTGTGATGGAAATAGTAAAATAAATACAGTTAAGAGAAGAGCGGAAGTTAAATACAGAACAATAAAATTAAACAGTGTAAAAATAAAAAAGCTCAATAATTACAAAATCAGCTTGAAAGGTCAGAGTGCTATTATAAATTACACGCAAACAGAAGTGCGATGTAATTAAATATTTAAACAAACTATTTGAAACAAACGCCGAAAGATCGATACAGGGATAATATAGAAATACATATGCAATGTTAATTTTTATATTAATAATAAATCAAAAAGAGTAGAGAAATGAGATTAATTATAATAAAATTAATCAAAAAGATTTTTCTTTCAATCGTTAGCAAACTGTTTACTTACTCCAGCATGTTTCGTGTAAATTATACTGCACTCTAAACGTGATCTTATTTTAAAGTGGTCAGTGCTGGAAGATCCATACGACACGTTTCGTTCTCGAGCTGCATTTTCGTTCTCGTCTTTAAAAACGCAGGACTGAAACGGAAAAGGAATGGGGATACGGATTGCGGAAAACACGAACAAACGGCAATTTTCTGAAAATGGGAAATCCCCAGGCATAGTCCCATAAACGGTTTGCTCGATCCAGCCTCGGTCCACGATCTCGATTTCGGCAGTGTACGTCCTACATATTGAACGAGACAAAAGTGCGATCGGTCAATTAAGGCCACGTCCGTAATACCGCGTGCGAACGCTCGTCAATGCAGTTTTCGTGCATGTCTGGACGCATCCCACATTTCCTGCGGCACGCAACTTCATCGTGATTGTGCGTATATACGCGTTCGCGCGCGAGTGTGTATTTTAGGTGGAATTGTCAACGAAGACAGATTGCCAAAAAATCCAAATTGAAATTTGTTTTCTCTGACCGCGTCATAGAATACCTGACATATTCTCAGATTGCCTCGGTAATCAGAGTTAGGAAATGACTTTTCAGAAGTTTTTATTAAATTTTTTTTCCATTCCACTCAAATTTGTTAAAAATTGAATATTATATATGTTCATTTAAAAATTTTCTGAATAGTTTACTTATTATACGTTTAATTCGCTAGTGTATTATTACACAATTTGATACGTTGATAGAGTTTTGCTCACTCAATAAGCATCTCATTCACTGCATCAGAGTTAAATAACGACTTCGACCGAATAATTTGCTGGTTTTAAGATTGAGTTAGTACGAACTACAATTTTCGCATTAATATGGACATTCATGTAATAACTGGATGCTGCAGTTCACGAAAGTTCATATAATCGATAAATTTCTGATAGTTGGAGGAGACGAATGTCTGTTGACTTCCCATTAATTTTGCAACGGGCGTAAATGAGTGTTTTGTTTTAATTGCATCTCGAATAATCCTCTTCCGCTCTCGTATCCTTGACATCCCGCCAAGCCGGCTAATAACCCGCGCCGCAGGTTACACCAGATTACATCGGTACGATGAAATCAAGGTGCATCTTCGCCTAAGTGCAAACACGACGGAACGTGTCGGGATCGTTCTTCGGTCGCTTAAACGGCCGTTTCGGAGTCTCGCATTAAACGATTTACTAGCGTCGCATGTGTGTATGCGCAGCGACGAAAGCGTCGTTGTTGAGTCCGGGGCACTTTACGCTCTTCGCAATGTGCTTGGTGTGGCAGCGTCATCCTCCCTTTAACGACGAGTGAAAAATGGTTGCTTTCAACGCGTTTGCACCTTGAATTCCTTCAGCTATGCGCTTCCGCGACGATATTCCGCGAGGTCTCCGTAGCTAAGTCGTAAGTTGCGATCCAAGCTCTTGTACTCAAACAATCTTGTCATACCATCCAGTAAAAGGAATGCAACAAAAAAAATTTGATATTTTTTATCTAGCAGGGAATTGTTTCCGAAGGATTTATATATCAAAATTATTACGGAGATGATTATGTTACAAAAAAAAATGCAAAGAATCGTGGATTATTCTTGTCTATTACGAAAAGGTTCACATCAATATTTTATTTTATAAATAAATAATATATATATATATATATATTAAATCTAGTAAACGTGTTTACAAATAGTAAATATATTATTTATACGATTTTATTTATTTTATTTGTATTATTTATATCTTACATCTATTATATTTATCTTACATCTTGCACATCGAATATTTAAATATTCTCAAAAATATATTTTAAAATGAAATTTAGATCTATTTTTTTTATCTGTAATAATACTTGTTAATTCCGCTATTCATTATTACTCTTATTGCTTATAGTTTCGTTAGTATTCATTAATTTCAGAAATTGACTAATAAACTCCCACGTGTATGCAAAACACGTCATACTTGTTATCATAAGCTTGTTAAGCACGCGGCCTTAATAACTCCTCCCGTTATCTTTCTTACTGAACGGTGTTACTTTTTTACGGCTTTTGTCACGTAATGTCGTGAGTTCTCGCTTTCTAACGTAAAGTGAAAAATGACGATGCTCGCGCGCAACGCATTTACGCTTCGAATTCCGCGAGATATCTGTGTTCTTCGCGAGTAACCCCGTTCCTGTTTCCAGTTTCCAGCCGATGGCGCCGGAACTCACGTTTCCACCATTGTTACAGAACAGACAGACAGAATCACAAGCATCCCCCACCAAAGTAAAGTTTCTTTGTGCTATTTTTGTTTCGCAATTGTGCGCGCCTGATATTTTATAATATCGATGTTATTTTTATATGACAGTCTCCTGGATATTGCAATTTCTCTTCGCACTAACAAGCATAGCGTGCAAATTGCGTGGTTTCGTCAAAGATGCAAAGAAATTAGTAAAGCGCGCAAGAGTAAAGCTTCGCCATAATGTTCCACGTAAAATAATAAATGTTGTTTCAAGAAATACGTGCATTGCGTATGTTAATGCACTTGGTATTTATGTACTTTTTTAGAATAATAATTTTTACTACGACTAAAATTTTTTCATAATTTTAAACATAACTTGGTATTTTAAGTTTATACTTTAATGTTAAGGAAAATACATTTCTATATAATTATAATTTAGATAAGTTTCAAAATAATTATTTAACATTGAAAATGTGCAGTCGATATAAAATTAAAGAATATAATATTTAAGTTAAATTCAATATTATTTTATTTTTTACGCAGTACCGGAATTCTATTTTATTTCGGTTTCTTTTTATCACAGTTTTTATTTATCTTTGGTAACTAGATTGTAACTAACAAGGAAAATTTTTTAAATATAACATTAAATGATATTAATAACTTTTATAAAATTGTTTGTAACAATAGAGAGGAGAATCTCTGTACTCAATTTCAAAATAATATGCATATCAACGTTGCGTATTTTCGCGTGTAAATATCGGTCACGAGAAATGTAACTAT